GCTGGAGAAGTAAGTACTTCCTTTAGTCAGTTGGCGTGCCAGGTGCCTTGGCAGATGCCAGGCACACATCATGAACAGTGTCGAGCCCCCTCGCTGGGATGGAGCATGATGACAATGGAAGAGACTATTAACTGCTACAACAATCCCAGCTGCTCTAGGGGAGCAAGCCAACAAATACTGTTTAACCTATGGTAGAGAGACAGGTATAAACGCCGAATCAAGTCAACAGAGGAGAGATAGCACTCAGTAGCTGTGTGTGTGTGTGTGTGTGTACACATGTGTGTGCATGAGCATGTTATGGGAGGCTGAATTCAGGGCCTTGCACATATTAAAAATACCTACTACTAAACTACATTCCCAGACCCATGCTATGCCTTTTTGTAACCTACCAGAATATGCACATGAATATTCAGAGGTGTATTATTTATAATAGTTCCAAATGTAAACGACCAGATGCCCAACAGCTGATAACTAGGCAAATAAAATATGGCATATTCAAATAATGAAGTATTAGTCAACACCAAAGAGAATGAATGTTATGACAGGGATGAACCCTGAAATTCTACTAAACGGGAGGGGCCAAACTCGTGTCTATTGATAAAATTGTTCATAACAGGCAAATCTTTAGACACAGAAAGTAAACTGGTGGTTGCCAGTGGTTGTGGGGAAAGGAGAAATCTACAGTGGCTATTACCAGATAGCAGGGCTTTGTTTTGGGTAGCGAGTTCGCGGCGACTAGACGGTGTGATGACTGCAGTCTCGAGCAGACACTTCAAAAGTCACTCACCGTGTACTTCACCATGCTGACTTTTAGAGCACACGGCATCTGGTTCTCTTCGGATTACATCTCAGGGCTTAAAACCCTAATGGCCTTGCTTTGCTCTTATTGTGCTTGCTCCTCAGACAGCAACAATATGGCAGGGCCTGCCAGTGAGCAGTGCCGCTCACTCTCAAGTGTCAGTCAGATCCTTCCCTGCTGCCCCTCCCTCCCTAATACACAGTCACGTCAAAGCCGGAAATATGCTGGCTTTGGGTAATGTTCAGAAGCTTTTTGTTTCTATTTTCAATATAATTACCGTCTAGGCAAGGCTTCTATTATGCAGACAATATAGCTCAAAGTCGGAGCCCTCAATGCCATAGAATGGCAGTCTTTTAAGACCACTATGACGACATAGTTTGTTGAGCAGGCTACACAGCAGCTCCACACTCCTCTTGACAGACTTCCACCATCTCTCAAGACACCCGAGATATCTCACCCCCACACGACGCCCGGAACTGGCTGTAGATCACACCACTGTAGGAGCAGCATTGTGTGCAGTATTTTGTACACAGTTAAGCATACAAAATATACTCATGCTCACTGAATAAAATCATTCTAGTTTCAGAAAGCAGGTAGTCAAGATGCGCCCATGATCTTTGCAGAAATGAACAGAGCTGTGTGGGCCTCAGCATCACCCCTGATGCAGGTGCCGCACATTTGTGGAATGAATCCTGGGGGAGTGAGCTTTACTCACAGGGAAAACAGTGCATCTGCCCCAGAAAAACTGCAAAGTCTTAGCTGGAATCTAGCGCCAAGGAGCCACGTACAGACCAGGGCTGCAACATGCGTAAGGGCCGTATGCTGAAACGGACACCTTCTTTTGTTTTGTTTTGTAAAGCACTTTTGTTAACTCCATCACTGAAACTGAGCAAGCAAACGCGCAGAAAGAAAACGTTTGCTAGTCATTCTGACGTGTTCAAGGCAAAGGGGGCCTCTCTGACTCCCGAAGCCGAACACGAGTAACCATGCCATCAATGCCCCAGCACTCTCGGGACCCTAGGTGATGCTCTGAGGACGCAACATAGAATAAACAAAGGCGCTGGCTTTTAGGTTTTTATCTAGGAAAACAAATCAGGCATGGACACTGAACTATACCTTTTCTGTGGTGGACTTTTCAAATGATAATTCCTTCCACTGTCACCATTAAATCTTAATCCACTCCAGCTCCTTGCATGGGTCATTGAGTCTATATGTACTGCTGTTATTTTCAAATGTTTCCCCTTGGTAGGGAAAGAGGGGGAGAAAAGATGCTGAGAGCCAGATGGGCCTCTTCACAGTTCATTTATCAAACCTAATACGCTGGGCTCCACCCTCCTCTCTCTCACTATTGCAGTTAAACTTCCATATAATTTGGTAATCATTTTCATTATCAGACAGTGACCCAAAGCAGCCGATCCTGGGATACTCAGTCCTTGCAGCTGCTCTTTTTCTGCCTGCTCCTACAGTAGACCCTAAGAGCTTCAGATTTTATTAGCTGCAGACTGACCTCTGGGCTGCGGAGGTCAAGAAGGGGTCAGATCAGAGGGCTTGCCCAGTTCTTTAAAAGCTATAACAAGCTGTCCATCAGGCGGAGTGGACTGTATAAACAAAGGCAAATCTTCAGAAACTCGGTACCACTTCTGTTAACACTTAGCCGGCATTCACACGGGGCTCCTGATGTTGGATCATTCAGCTCTGGGGAGGTGAAGCGACAGCCCTAATAAGCCTGTTTGGAGAGGGCTGTTTCTAAGATTATCGAGTTTGGGGAAGGGAAGCCAGCAGCGCTCAGATGTGCCTCTGGAATCACGGGCTTGTGTGACACTGTGACAAACTCAGTTACCCCAAGTACTGCAGAACTGACACTTTCCTCAAGGAGCTAAATCACAGGGAACATATGCTTTTGGTTTCAGGCATGCGGAGTCCCAGACAATGGCTCCACTCCTGGCCTGAGAGAAGGACACATATTTTATGACCAAGTTACAAGCGTCACTGAAAATGTTCTCTGGAGACCATGACGGCAGATGAACCTGCTTGAGAAAGGGCTTATGATGGCACACTGTCACGGAAGCCGTGCCCGCGGGAGTCAGGCCGACCAAAGGTTCTTGAGGCTGCACAGCTCAGTGAGTATTAAAAGTTAAGCGGAGTCATCTGGATGCGACTTTCTGAAGAAAGAAAATTCTAGTATCTAGTCTAACTGGTCCCTGGGTAGCTCAGACGAAGGTGAAATATGTAACCTACCGTTTGGTCTCTGGTGAGTGCTAACTATTTTCTGCTAAAGCACAGTGGTTTTACTTTGTTTTTGTTGTTGTTTTCTTCATGTACTTCCAAAGCACACAATAAGCCCATCTTTAAAGCCCAGGCAGCAAGGAAGAAAGGCACTTCCCGGGATGCTTTATAACTTTTACCACCACCCGCTGGACGACCACGCAAGGCCTGGCCTGTGCCAGACGCCGGGCAGTGCTTTGATGAGGAAGGAGAGGGATATGGTGACCGTCTGTTTATCCGGCTCATATGGATGAGGCTTTGAGATAGGGCACCGGGATGGGAAACATCAAATGGGGGCACAGAAGGGTGGGGGAGGAATACGGTTATTTAATACTCCGAGGACACTTTGCCTTGGGAGCTCTCAGGACATCGGCCTCTTGAAATTTTCTTTCAGGTGTTTGGTTTTAAGAGGGTCTGCACAGTGTCAGCTGCTAAGCCCCTTCTTCTCTCCGCCTCTGCCACAAAGGAATTGCGAATTTTTGCTTCAGATGCTAGACTACATCAACTTCAACACTGGCTCCAGCCCCTGATTAAACTGTTAGCAGTAAAGGGCCAGAAAGCCAGACTCTTTTTAAACAGGCCATGGCAGCTATGTTGTCCAGTGAGTTGATGTCATAGGAAGTCACTGGTGACAAACTATATGTACCCAACCAAAAGACAGCCATCCCCAGTGAGCGTGCACTCTGGGCTGTGCGGGCTTTGGAGAGAGGTGTGTGGGAGACAGAAGATAAGGGGACACATGCTTCTCTCCTTTCTGAGTTAACAAGCAGCACTAGGGAAGAAGAAAGAACCTGGCAAAAACAAAGCAAGAAACCTTTCTGGAGCCCCAGTGCTGCTAGTCCATTGTTTAATAAGATATAATGCAAATATAATAACGGTAACACAAAAAGTCACAATTTAACTATGGAAAGTTAAACGGCAAATAATTCCTTTGCCACTGCCATTGAAAACTCACTAATTATGACTACCCTGTGAAGAAGGGGCACCACTGAAAACTGTGAGACTCCCCTTAAGACAAGCCTGGATTAGACAGACCACGCAGCCCCCGAGGAAGCAGCTTTCTGATACTCAAGGAAAAGCGACAGCTCAGGCTGCCTTCCTTGGGAAATGCTGCTCGGGACTTCATCCTTTTCAAACACATTTATTTTCAGGATTACAGTTAGTAGTAAAGCTATCAATTGCTGAAAATTCTGCTGTATGAAGTTTTAGAGATTATCATGGCTAATATAAACTATTCTTTGACTCCCAGGCACATAGAATTTCCAGGCATCAAATAGAACCGTGAACGAAACACAGCATCATCCTCTGGTCCCTCTCCCACTTGTGTGCAGAAGCCTCGGTGTTTTTACCGCTATGAACATAGAGGAGAATCCCAACACTTGGAGGAGCCAGCTCTGACCTCTCAGACATCAACTGTTTACAGCAAACTAACAGTAGACTTCCTCTGCCAGCACGTCCGCCGGAATGGATGACTTGCGCAAACCTTCCACCAGTGACAGCGCCACGCACAAAGAAACCAGGCTGAAGCAGAAGGAATCTCCACTCAGCCAGTTTTGAAAATGAGACCAATAAATGCACTGCCTCCAGTCTGTCACTTGCAGTGACGGAGTAAGGCTTGGTGGACCTCCCAGGCATCTGCCTTACTAAATAGCAAAGCCAGTCTTCAGACTGCTGACCAGAAAGGGCACTTGGGCATCGGGCACTTAAGCTACATTATGCTCAAGGTGCAAACCTGCAGGCTAAATGGTACACGTGAAGAGAACTCATACACACATATGGATGTCGGGCATCATTATAACTGATGCGGTGACCACGGGCAGGAAAGCCAACTTTAGCTCAGAATGTCTTCAATATGCTTATTTTCTATAGCCCCACAAATGAGAGGACAAGTCGAGCCAGGTCAGGGACGCAAACCCCATCTCCCGGCAGCACAAACCTGGCGTGCCATTCTTTCCTCAGGTTCTGGCGCAGGGTGAGCGAGACCAGGATGGCAGCCAGAATTTCGTTCCTTTGTTCCACGGGGAGCCCGTCTCTTCTAACTTCACGAAGCACAGCATTTGTCTAGAAGAAATGATCCCCAAAAGAGAAGGAAAAAGTGAAAAATTAATAATAAAAAAAGCCCATAAGCAAATAAGGACAGTAAATCAATGGCTTCTTTATTACAGTTCCCTTGCTAACAAATCAATACGGTAAATGATGGTCAAAAATGGCCAGCATATATTCTGGGTTTAATCAATGTACATGGCACACAGGGCAAACTCCAAAGCGCCATTGCCTAAAGAAACGTGTCCAGACGCCATGCGTTCTCACCCTCATTTTCTCAGCACACCAACGATTTTTTTCCCAGGGAATTGCCCACCATGAGCTATTATTAGAAATGATTTTCATGGACCGGTCACCGTGAGTTGTTTGTTTTGCCTTAAAAACAACAATAAAGGAAAAGCAGGCTCTGACTTGGCCTCTGTTCCCTGCCACCCAGCAGAGGCTTTCTGTGTGGCCCCTCTCATTGGAATGACTACTTTCAATTTCTACCCATTCCAGAGGTTTGGGGTGTTATCACTCATTGCCCATCAACATCTGGCAAAGGAAATAAGTTCATATTAATCAGAAGCAGAGTGTATCTCAATAAACATCTTTAAAATTTGTGAATATTACTAGCATTTATTTACTCGGAAGTATTTTTTTGTTTTGATTTTAGTTATGTGTACTTGTGTGTGTGTGTGTGTGTTTGTGGGTATGTGTATGTGCAAGTAACCCCTTGGAGCAGGAATTATAGGTGGTTGTGCACTGCCTGGTATGGGTTCTGAGAAGCAACTCAGTTCCTCTACAAGAGCTGGATCCTCTCCAAGTGCTGAACGAACTCTAGAGCCCTACATCTATTTACTTTTGGGGTATACGGACCTAGGTGCACGCATGGGGGCTATGACAGTCGGCTCTCCTCTATCATGTGGGGACCAAGAGCCTGACTCAGGCCATCATGGTTGGCAGCAAGCACCTTTACCTGCTGAGCTATGCTGCCAGCCCTGGGAATGTTATTTTAATCTCAAGCCAGTATGACGTCTGTGGGGGATACTATAGCATTCTTTTGTAAACACTAGAGTACCCAAACATAAACGTATATCAAATAGAATACAAGTCACAAATACCTAGACAGTTCCAAAAACGTGATGAAACGAAAGCTGGCTTTCCTCTGAATTTATAAAAACTTTTTTAATAGACTGGCCAAAGTGAAGGTTAGCGAGATTGAAGCATCCTCCTGTATCCCAGCTGCTCAGCTGGTCCTTCCATGTCTGATGCGGATGCAGCTGCTGACGTGCAGGGCACACTCACGATTTGCTTCTCACAGAACTTGAGATTCACCTCTTTGCTCCACTTGAGTGTTCTACAGCATGTACTTACTATCCCCATCATCAGCTTTGAGGAGGGGTACAGGAAGGTTTATTGTTTCTGTTGCCAACACCGACTCCTTTGTCCAGCAACCGCCCCTACAGCCCCTCAGGTAAAGTCCTTTCTCTCACTGCTCATGGCCTTAGAGGACTGTCACATCCCTCTATGGGCACGAGCCAAGTCACTCTGACTCCTTTATCCGGTAGATGAGACTCTTGAGAAGGTGAAGGAGAAAGGAGTGTCTCCAGAGGTCCATCAGGTACCTTAGCTTCCAGCATGCCTTGCCTTGGATGCGCCTTGCTTTTTCTGATCATCCTGTCAGGTCTTTCTCTTCAAATCACCTAGCTGCCCATATCTTTTAAATAAAGCCTTGATTTTTTTTTTAAACTTACCAGAACTTATTTCTGAGTCTTAGACTGGAATCCTGGTCGGCACAGAGGCAGAATGAGAACTCTAACTCATGCCTCTAGGATCTAGACATGCATAATCCTGGGAGATGATGGCAGGGGACACTCAATCATGTTCCACAGAAGTAATGTGTCGGTCCTCCAGCCCACAGAGGAAGCTTACTTTCTCTAGACAGTTCCAGCTTGCAACCCAATATCCGCCAATGACATGCCCCCACTTAGGGCGGACAGACGGTAAGAGTGAGTCAGGCAGAGGTTCCCTGAAGAGAGCATGTAATGGCCACAACGGGGCTCCTGTGAACTCTGTCATCCAGAGACACTGGCTCAAAAGGGCCAGATCAGGAATTTTCAAAACAAACAAACAAACAAACAAATCCATTGGCAGGGGAGTATTAAATGTGAACACTCCTGGCTTTATTCACATTGGAAATTCATAATTTTTTTAATATCACATAGGTAGAATAAGAAAAATGGTGGAGTAAACAGAACTCAGGCAGCTGCTGGCCTGTGACTTTTAATCTAAAAAGTCTTATTTCAGAGTGTCTTAGTCACCACAGTTCTGTCCCTTGCCTAGGATACTCTATATCACACAGTTAAAGTTGAAAGTGGCTGCAAAATGTCATCTAGACACTACCAGGCCCGTGTGTACAGGCTACTTCACCAAAACAAAGGACAAGGGACACATCCAGCAGGCTCCATATGTGGTGAGAATAATCTGCAAAGTGTCTTCAGTGTGCTGTCCCCTCTACCACCATTTCAACTGTATCCAGAGGCTCTTGTTTTCCATACATGGGAAGAGCGTCTAGGAGGGGGAAGAGGAAGAGTGTACAAGGAAGTTTCGCAGAAGCAGAGGGAACTGTCCCGGTTACCACCGTTTTCCATTAACCACCTAATTACTTGATATTTGTCAGAATGATAAACAAGAAACAAGCACGGAAAATAAGCATTGCAAATGAAAAGAACAAGGGATGACTCTTAAGAAATCACTATTACATACATGATAAGCTCATAAAACCGGTAAACTGGGAGGACTATATGATTCGGGAGGGGGCTCTTCACTGGCAAAAACTAACGTCATGACCTTTGAAAATAACCAGACCCCAGGTTTCAGTTCCCTGGTCTTCAGGTATTCTCTCATCCCCTTACAAGCCACATAACATCTAACAATTTTTTCTTTAAACTAGCCCATATTTAAAAAATAGAAAATATACACAGAAAAATGGAGAAACCAGTGGTGTTCTTCATAAATGAGATGAAAACCATAACGATAGTAAAGGCAAGTTATCTGCCTTGCCCTCCTCCAGGTGGGTCATTGCCAGGGTTCCCAGATGGTAGCACACTCTTTCTGCATCATAAAGGAAGGCATCAGAGGTCTTGGAGGATGCAAAAGCCCAATCACAGCAAGAAAGAAGATCTCAACAGTGGTGGTGAATTAAAGCCCCGTCACACTTAGACTCCTTTCAATAACGTCTGAGAGGATAATGGCAGATAAGAATGAACTGAACATATTCTCAAGAGGACCGGAGGCTCAATCTGGGTCATCTCCCGATGGCAAGGCCCTTCTCTCTCTGCATACAGAACCTGCCGTCCTGATTATTAGTGTTCGGTTCCATCTCAAACTCAGTTCTTCTATCACGTGCAAAGCTGTGCTAGTTCAACAAAAGGGTGTCAGAAAGTATTGGCTACTTGATATTTAATGTAGCCGGGCGGTGGTGGCGCACGCCTTTAATCCCAGCACTCGGGAGGCAGAGGCAGGCGGATCTCTGTGAGTTTGAGGCCAGCCTGGTCTACAAGAGCTAGTTCCAGGACAGGCTCCAAAGCTACAGAGGGTTTCTGTCTCGAAAAGAAAATTGTACAACTATCTGGCAATCATGACCAGAATTCTCCAGTGTGTCAGGAACACAAAGACATCCCTCTGTACATTCCGAGTACAAAGCCTCTTCTTCCAGAATAGCCTTCACTTTGGCGACAGCCCTGATTGGCCCTGGCCTTCACCCATCAGATAGGCTTTAGGCCAACCCTTGGCATGTCTCCTAGGTGAATCTTCTTCCTGAGACCATCAGCTGTTGCCATCCTGAGGTCATAACCTTCATTCTCTGTCTCCTTTGCCTGCTCTCTGTAGAAAGAGCTTTAGGGGCCCCTGTAGACTCAAGGCACCTACACATCCACCCTCTGCACTGACTTCTGCCTCATGCGGCCAACAACCGGCTATCTTTTCTTAAACATGACACCTCAAACACGGTACCATGGCCTCCAGCTGCCCACATCTGAGCCACCTTGGCCCTCCTCTCTCATCTCCTCACCAATCCTACCGTGGAAGGAGTGGCACCATTTCAGAGGAATGACACGGACTCCATCCCTGGAGTCATCTGGTCTCCCCAAGCCCTGTACACCCCTTCACTCCAGCACTCCATCCTGACGCCTCTCTTACACCTGCCTCTTCCTGCCCCTCAGTTCAGACCTCTCACCTGCTTCACATGACGGACGCCACACTGCCACCAACCTTACCCATCTGTGAATGCTCTCACTTCAAAAGAAAGCATACTGGGGACTTGGGATGTAGTGCAGTGGCAGAACACTTGCCAACAGGCACAAGTCCCTGGGGAGGGGGAGGCCTGTAGGAGGGCAGGAGGGAGGAATAGAGGAAGGGAAGGGAAGGGAAGGGAAGGGAAGGGAAGGGAAGGGAAGGGAAGGGAAGGGAAGGGAAGGGAAGGGAAGGGAAGGGAAGGGAAGGGAAGGGAGAGGGTCATTTTTCACAATGCAAATCTGAACAAGTTACTTGCTTTCCTATAATTCAGCTTCACCTTGGTGGTGGGTTGTGAGTTTTCTGCATGAAGTCCAGTGCTCCATGAAGCAGAGTAATCTTAGAGATGAGGGCCTCTGGCTGCCAAAGCCCAACATAACCAAGGTATTTCTGCTTATGCATTTTTAGTTGCTAAAATTCAGAAGGTTTAAAACAACAGATACATTTCTAAAAAGCTCAAATACCTAAGTAATGCAAAACTCAAACAAAATTAAAACAAAGGAAACCTTGGTATCGTGGTATGCATCCTGGTGGTTTCGCCGGTTTTATCTCTTGCCATCTTCTACTCCATATAAACTGCTAGGCACCTGAAAGCACCTGCAAATGCACTCCCTGGGACCCTACTTAGTCTTCAAGACACATCTCAGACCTCATCTCCTTAGCAAAAGCTTGCATGGCCCAAGCTCAGCTGGTCTGGCCACTGTTGAGCATGTCCTAAACCACACCTCAGTCCACTGCATGTC